TTTTGTTAAGTTTGCAGATTTGGATGAACAGACACGAGCAATGACTGAAATGAATGGACAATACTGTTCGAGCAGGCCCATGCGCCTTGGACCAGCATCCAACAAGAAGAATACTGGTGGACAACAACAGCCATTGAGTGGTATGCATCCTTACTTCTTATCTAGGATTTTTTTTCTGTCAATGGAATTATAAGTATTTCTATATAAACTCTTCTGTTGTACGATTTTTGATAGATAAGGCAGGCTTCTGCTTATTTTTCTTGTATCTTCACTTCAATCCTTCATTTACTTGGCATCGATTCACCTAGCTTCGTTATGAGAAGCCTTGAATATGCTGCTATTGTGTCCTGCGTTGCTATTTTTCTATATGTAATAGCTGTTGCTTCAGTAGCTTCAGTCCTTTGATTTGGTATATCTTCATTTTCCTATGCATTTATGTCCTTTTCATTTTTGAGTAATAAGCAATTTATGGTTTCTTAAGAAATGACCTTAGTTGACATATGAGGCAGGCAGATACCTTTTTGCTCCAAAAAATTCTGCCATGACTGTCATTGGATCCTTCTTTCACTCAACAGTGCAGTCAACAAAAACTTTGCTAGGACTGTTGGTAGTATATCTTCATTGCAATATTTTATTTTGTACCTGGAATATTGTTGAATTATTCTAATTTTGAATGCAATGTTTTGCATCTTGTGACTGGACTATTTAGTTCAAGTCATTTTTGGTATCTGTTATGATCTGATCAGGTTGACACATGGCATACTTGCGTTGTTACCACCCATGATTGATTGTTGAAATTTCAAATGCTTATGGATCACCATATAACTCTCGGCATATTCATGACTTGCTTATGAATCTGTAACTACTGCCAAAATGTGAAGTGTCTTACTCTTTCCGTTCTTCTGCAGCTATTTACCAGAATACCCAAGGAACTGATTCTGATAGCGATCCAAACAATACTACTGTGGGTATCTGTAAATATTTTTTGTCTTTTTCAAGCTGCATGATGGATGTTTATTTTCTAGACTTCATTATTTGCAGGTATTTGTTGGTGGTCTTGATCTGAGTGTGACTGATGATCTTCTGAAGCAAACCTTCAGTCCATACGGAGAGCTTCTCTATGTCAAAATACCTGTAGGAAAGCGTTGTGGATTTGTCCAATATTCTAACAGGTACGAGGAGTATACTCTTTTGTGTTGTTATTCGATAGCCTCATTATTTCGGGTTTAGTGCATTGTGCAGATCAATTTATAGTATCCAGTTACATGTTGAAATCTTTTTTGTGTCCATATTTTAGTGCTAAAATTAGCACCCAATTGGTTATAGTGATTCCACATTCCACATTAGGCCTTGTTTGGATGCATGTGTATCCACTTCAATCCACATGTGTTGAAGTGGAATGGAATGGAATTTAGTTTAATTCCACTCCAATGCACTTCAACACATGTGGATTGAAATAAATACATGTGCATCCAAACAAGGCCTTAGGAGTGTATTGTGTAAATTTAAACCATATGAAAAAGGATTTGAAATTTATAGTGGAAAATGCTTCTAAAAATTTTCTGAACCAGATACTACTACATGGATTTTATCTTGATTAAAAAAACTATTTCTTCAGGGCATCAGCTGAGGAGGCCATAAGGGTGCTAAATGGAAGCCAGCTGGGAGGTCAGAGCATAAGGCTCTCATGGGGTCGTAGCCCTGCAAACAAGCAGGTAACTTTTTTTTATCTAATTTGCGTGCCCTTTACTTAGTGCTTTAGTTCATATTCCCTTTGTTGGGTTTTTATTCCAGCCTCAGCAAGAGCAGAACCAATGGAGTGGTGGCTATTATGGGTATCCCCAAGGATACGATCCATATGGTTATGCTCGGCCCCCTCAAGATCCTGCCATGTACGCCTATACATCATATCCAGGGTATGGAAATTACCAGCAGCAGCCACCACAGCAGCCCCCACCACAACAGGTAAAGCATGTTTCTCAAGGCCCTAGCACGATATTTGTTGATTAGTCATGCAATTGTGCGCCTCTAAGATGTATTGTTTCTCCCTTTGCAGTAAGAATAATGATGGCCCGGGAGGATCATTTGCAAACTGGCCCCAAAGTAGTTGGGGCAGCAGCTTAGGTGCATTGGCATGAGGAATTCTGCGACGGTTGCTTGTGTTATATTGCTCCAACGCCCTTGTACACGTAGCCTGTGTTGTAACTTAATTTTGCCAAGGCCTAGAGTGACTAGTGTTTCAGCTGTAACTGGATTGGACATTTTTCCACTGTTTGAGAAGTTTTGTCGTAAGGATTTTCTTCATGCTCTTATTGCTGGAGTCTTGGAGAAAGTTAAATTGTTACTGTGGTCCATCTGCTACGCTCATTGCACATTTGCACTAGTGCTGGCATCGTTAGGACCTGCAATTTAATTTTCACCTGACGTCAAACGGGGCAATTTTGCTTGACTTGATAACTTTTACAATTTTGTAAGAAATACACACTATTACCAATTTTGTTGTCTTATTGACGCTTGACGATCGTTATTAATATTCAGACGATTGTTAATTCGCATCTTGTGCCCTTTTGAAAATATATTATCAATTAGAATTTTTTTTAGACCAAAGACCATTGGTCCAGCTTATATTGAAAGCAAAGGTTAGGTTGGGATACCAGCATCAATGCATCATTACAATGTTTAGTGATCAAGGCCTCCAACATCAAAAGAAAGAAACCACTCTTCCCAAGAACCCCACCCCACTCTGTAAAATCTAGAATGAGACAGGAAGTTGCTAAGAGCATCTCTAGTAGTTTTCCTATACCTACTATCCCCATATAAAACAATTATATTAGAGGTTACTGTGTTTCTTTCCTACTTTACATGTCTTTTGGTGGCCATCGATATTTCTATTATTCCTCCTTAAATTAAAAGGAACCATCCCAACCATCACTTTTCAGCTATCTGTTTTTCCTACACACCTAGGGGTCTATTTTTCATGGGTGTTGAGAGAGATATTGAGGTACTGTTCAATTCTTCCAATATTAAAAAAATATTGAGCTACCTTAATGGCTATATACTGGGAGATAGATTATTAGTAGACTGGTGGAGATGTTAAAGATAGCAAAAATACTTCTACCTTCTTCACCATTCTTCCCGGCACTCTTTTAGGCTGTTGCAGCATTTTTTCTAGATATGCCTTGCCTCATCCTCCATCCTCGTTAAGCTATTGCAACGCCTTTTCCAGATGCGCCCCATCCTCCATTTTCGCTAGGATTTTCCAGTGCCAAAGAAAACCAGGAATTTTATAAGCTACCACATTTGAAAAAACCCAATCATTTCTGGTTTTTCAGAGACCCCAACACACTCCAGTAAATGGGACACCTATTGTGATTATGCACCGCAATGCTTTATTATTGTTCAACAAAAACAAAAGCGAACTTGGAGATTTATCTAGCCAGGAACATCAACACTGCAATAGGGCACCGAAAGAAAATATGATTCTGGTTTTGTTTTTCCACAAAGTTTGCACATGATATATCGAAATCATGACAGCACCGAACAGGATTTATTCTTAAAATTTGACTAGTGAAATTTTGTTTGACTGTTGAGCGTGCACGTTTTTCACTACAATTGCAAACGAAGTTGCACTTTTCAAAATCCACGTGTTATTTTTTTTTCTATTCCCAAGACATGGATATGGTAGGAGTATGATGGCTATTCCCATGTAGGCATTACGGATGTTCTTTTTTAAAGACTGGCATTACAGATAAAATGAAATGCATCTAGAAAAATTACCCTGAAGTCCAAAGTACATTAAATTTGTGAAAACTGTACGACATTATTTCAGTACAACTGTAAAGCTTGCAGCTTGGTGCGCGTCAGCCATCAGTGGAGATGCAGGTTTTGCTTTCTTTAGGTCCATGGATCAACCTAATTCTCACTTAATAACTACTACTTTGCATTTCAAAACAAAGAAAATGGAATAGAAAGGCTAACGGCCAAAGATACCCTTTTGGTGCCCACTTGTGCAAATTCTATTTCCGAGCATGCTTCTATGCCAAACAGATCAAACCTGATTGTGCTGGGCTGGGCTGGGCTCAGCAATTGAATCACAGTAGCCGAAACCACCAGGATTGCCAAAGATATCAACATCTCCAACCTTCCTTCAGGTCTGCTCAACTTCGAATACAAATTAGGGCCAAGAGAGAAAGTGAGATGCTAGAATCAACAATTGAAAAGCAGCAGTCAGATCAGATCACAGTGCTTTAAAAGTTTTTTTTTATGGAAACAGGAGGGGCAAGCCCTACTGATTAATAAATTGAAGGGGGTAACAGTGCTTTAAAAGTAGGGATACTTGCAATTTGACATCCAATACATATTCCTGAGTATTGCATAAACAGTAACGTTTGCACATGCTGCATGTAAGCAAAGACTACTTTTATTAGAATCCAGATATTTCTACCATGTGAGGTCCATGGTATTATTGCAGAAGGTAAAATATAGAAAGAAAACTCACAATTATATACACAAAATAAACAGTAAACTATGCGAATATGATTTCAAACTACTCGGTTACAGGCTCACCCAGGGGCAGGGACATTCTTTCCGTTTCTGCTTTTTTTTTCAAGTCCATAGTATTCTCAAAAGTTGTTTTCCCATAAAGAAGGGAACTCCGTACAGAAATTCTGTGCACTATGTTCATCAGCTACTGAAATAACTGAAAAACTACTCTCATCAATTTTGATACGTCAGACTAAATCTTCTGATGTCTTTGTGTTCTAGATATCTTCAAAAACTCCCCGATAAAAGGTACTGCCACTAATTAGGAATATGAAAGTCTTCCATCCTGACTTTGTGTGTCCATCTATCAAAGCCTGTATTTAAACAGCATGATACATCATACCTAACTACCACGGGTTGGGTAGAGGAGCAAAATAATGTGGATGACACCTTCAGGCTAATTAGAAACTAATCCTGATAACACCAGCACTTGCAAACAGTAACTACCAGTTTATACTTCATACAATACCAAAATGCTTCATCAAGTGCTTTCTTAGAGCACCTTTGGAGCACAATTCAATCAATGTCTCTTGTGCCTCCTTCACAAATCCCTCACTTGCTAAGCCTCGAATAAGAATAGTGTAGGTCGATTCGTTGGGCATGCATCCACTGGACACCATATATGCCAAAAACTCAATAGCACGGTCAGTTTCCCCTCTTTTGCAAAGCGAAGAAATAACTGCATTGTAGAGCACTGCATCGGACCTTATTGTGGTATCCTGGATGTTATCAAACATCTGAATTACCCTGTTAATTCTACCTTCTCTGGAGAGAGCAGAAGCTATTGACGAATAAATGATTGTGTTTGGGCTCATCCCTTTGTTGACCATCACATTTAACAGCTCCAGTGCTTCGTCCATCTTGCCAGCCTTGCCAAGGCCATCAATCACTGTGCTGTAGCTAATCAGGTCGGGACTGCATCCATTCAGTAGCATCTGCTTAAGAAGTTCAATGGCCTGCTCAACCAGTCCCTTTTTACACAAGAAATTGATGACTGTGTTGAATGTGACAGGATTCGGAGAACAGCCTTGCTGAATCATTTGAGACATCAGGTCCTCAGCATCCACCCATCGTTCCGCGCTGCACAAACCCTTGAGCACAATAGTATAGCTTATGGTATTCGGCTTGCATCCACAGGCGGCCATACTTTTCAACAACATGACAGCTTCGTCGATAAGCCCTTCCTTGCAGAAGCCATTGATCACTGTAGTGTATGTGATGACATCCGGGATGCATCCATGCTCCAGCATTTGCTCAAGTAGTTCGATCACCCGGTACACCAGCCCATTTTGGCAGAAGAAATCAACAAGTATGTTGAACGTGACATCATCAAGTGGGCAGTCCTTGTCAAACATCTCAGCCAGCAACTCCTCGGCTTGCTCCCACCGCTCAGCACTGCACAAGCCCTTGAGCACAGTATTGTAGCAAACCACATTGGGCTTGAGCCCGTAGGAAGGCATCCTATCCAAAATCTCATGCGCAACCTCGAGATGCCCTTCCTTGCAGATACCATCGAGGATAGTGGCATACATCCTGATGTCCGGCGTGCACCCATGGTCCGCCATCTGCGCGAGGACCTCGTGCACCCGCTCGAACAAGCCGTTCCGGCACAAGTAACCGATGAGGGTGTTGAAGGTGACGATGTTGGGCGGGCAGCCCACCGTGACCATCTCCTCCATGAGGTCCTGGACACGGCCCCAGCGCTTGGCCATGCACAGGCCCTTGAGCACGGCGTTGTAGCTCACCACGTCCGGCTGGCAGCCCAAGGACGGCAGCAGGTCCCGCAGCAGGCGGAGCGCCTCGTCCACCGACCCTTGGTCGCAGACGGCGTTGAGGACGAGGTTGCAGTTGCCGACGTCGAGCGCGCAGCCCCTGGCGTGGAGGTCCTGGAGCACCCTGACGGCGCTCAGGAAGCCGCCGCCGCCCCTGCAGGCGGCCTCGAGGACGACGTGGTACATGGGCGGGATGGGCGCGCAGCCGCGGCGGCGCATCTCGTCGAGCACCGCGAGCGCGTCGGCGATCCGGCCCCGCGCGCAGAGCGCGCGCACGACGGGGAAGTAGGTGTAGGCGTTGGGCGGGACGGGCACCGACGCGGCGAGGCGGCGCGCGGAGGCGAGCTGCCCCGCGCGGCAGTAGCCGGACACCATGGCGTTGTAGGCGACGACGCCCGCGCTGCCGCCCGCGGCTGACAGCGCCCGCGCGGCCTCCGCGGTGCGCCCCGCGGCGCAGAGGGAGCGGATGAGCGCGGAGAGGCGGCCGCCGCCGGGCGGCGCATCGTCGGATGTCGCGGCGGGGGCGACGGCGAGGGCGGAGGCGGAGGCGGAGAGCGCGGCGAGCCTGGTGGGCTTGGCGGTCTTGGGCGACGCCGACGCGGAGAGTTTGGAGACGACCGGGACGGTGGGCGGCGGGAGCAACGAGGTGAGCATTGGCGATTGATTACGCTGGCTCGCCAGCGACATGCGGGGGCGAGGGCGAGGGCGAGGATGCGGTGGAGAGGTAGCAAGGAGCCAAGAGATAGCGGATTTCTTTGTTTTGGCTTGTCGTGGGGGGGATTGGTGCTTTGCTTGGCCTTCGATCGCCATTTCTGGTTCTGCAATGTCCCTCTCTGGTCCTGCTTTCCATTTGAACAATTATTCCTGGCAAAGGGAGAGATATTTTGGAAAACATGCAACCAAGGATTGGGCGCCTAGATATTCATGAGTCAATTCTAAAACATACAAAGATAAGTGTGTCGTGATGTATGTAAATAAGTGGGCTTGGCGTCATCGACGTCTAAAGTCCACAACTTTGGCCCTTCCTGCTGTGAACAACCCCATCATTAGACACATCAGCCTCTACGCGAACTGGGTGCGCTACTGGTCCATCGACGATCAAACTGTGCCACACAATTTTTTTTTATTGATGAAGCATGCTCTACGTCATGCAGCCTGTTCATTTGTTGATTTCAGTTGAGGCTTATCAGTTAGATAACAGTATTTTTCTCTCACAACAAATTAGCACTAGCCGAGCTTATCAGTCCAAAAACCAATCAGCGAACATGCTGCATGTTATCAACATATCACTCTACCTCCATCACTGGCTCGTGCTTGCCAACGGTGACTCCACCCTCGGATCGTTTGGCTCGTGCCTTAGCGGTTTTGTTCTCAGACTGCACCGACCAAGGCACTAGGTTGCAATGGCCTTCTTCCATGACAGGCCCGTGCTACCTATTCACCATTGTCTGAGCCAAATAGTTGAGCAAGAACGGGGGCGACGTCTCGTCGAGTGCTTGCTATCCCTCTCTAGCATCATCTTCTCTATGGGACGATGACAACCTTCGGCACCATCGTCGTCTACATCGTGCTCAAGTAAACCGGCTGTGGCGTGCTTTCTCGAGTGTTTTCTTGGGTCTTACGCCATGGGAACACCAGAACCAAGAGCTTCTCCACCACCATGGCGAGCTTGGCATTCCCTTATTATGTCTTTTTTGCCCTACCACTAACAAGGACATCACCCACGTGTTCTTCTCTCGTCCCCGGATTTATGCATTCCGGGTCAAAGCACCTCGATGCCTAGACATATATCCTCTTGAAGCTTGGTGCCTACACCTCCAAAATTTAACCTAATCCCTACTACCTCTTCTCATCTTCTCTCTTGTATCTCTGGCGCCTATTCAACATCTTGTACGCCACATGTACACGATGCTAGGACCCAGATTTTTACGGCAATGTGTTGTATCGATGCTTGGAGGCGTAGGACCCACTCTCGGTTTAAAAACAACCGCTTCCCCTCCTGTTTCCAATAGCGACCATGTGACTTGAGAATAACTATTTTATTCAATCATCTAAGTGAGCATTGAAGCTTGTACATTCTTTGATGTCTCATTTGTTTAAGCCAATCCTCGTTATGCATAGTGGGGAAAGCAATGCTCCATTAGCAGAGAGTATCGAAGCCTCGATTTTTTAGCACACTACAGGTGTTGTAAGTGGCTCAACAAACCAGCCAGCTTGTGCTATTCAACCAGTTTTAATCCATACAAATTAGTTGTGAAACGGTATTTTTCTCTCTCACAACGCAAACCAGCCGTACAAATCAGCAGAAGCCGATTTAATACAGCCCAACAGAGCCTATCGAAGTCCAAAACTTTGACCCTTCTCAAGATAGGCGAACAACCTCATGATTAGACACAACTGCCCTGGGTGGACTGGGTGCACTTGTGGTACATTGACGACCAAAGCATATCACACACTGTATTGGTGCATGTTCGCCATCATACCGCTCCATCACCAGTGTCATGCTTGGGAACAACAACAACAACCATGTTTTGACATGACAATCGCTCAACCCTTGGGCCGTTGGCTCATGTGTAAAATCCCAAAAGAAAATAATAAATAAATATGAACGAACTAGCAGGCAGCCTGCAGCCTCATGCTCATGTCAAAGCTACGCATGCGACTGGATCATCTTCTACCTGGATAGAAACGATCGGTAAAAGGAAATAAGAAAAATCGCGGAGAAGAGAAACTCAAATGGATATTTCTACTGGATAGGAACACACGGTAAAGAAGATAACTCTTGACTGATTTTTCCTACGGCCTGGTCCTCGTCCCATTCTGGAGCGCTGTGTAGAACACTCCCATGCTAGTATGTGCCCTGCTCCTATCCCTCCAAACCTGTACCACACATAAATTGATCAGACCTGCACCACGCACACATCGTGCAACAGTGTACTCGTTCTTGGGGCTTGCTGATGTAAAAGTCGGACGACTAGGGTAGGAGCAGGTATTGTCCCATTTGCTGGTACTTTGTACTGTAAGCTGTAGCAATCATACTAGCCTTCTGATCTAGTCCACTCTAGACCTCAGCTAGCTGTTCAAATATGCAGCTACGATCTTAACATGTAGCATGTTCAATTGGTCGTGTTTGGTTTATAAGCCATGACTTATCAGCTAATAAATAGTATTTTTCTCTCACATCAAATCAGCCAGAAGTATTTTCAGCTATGGCTTATCAGCCAAACAAGCCTAAACGATCAGGGCGATGATGTGTGTAGCTAGATTATTTAGACTACCATGCATGAGACGATTAGTACTACTCCATTAAATATCTCACTTACTTGATTAGTTACCTTTTACACATCATCTTTTACTACTAATAGTGATGTCATCAAGTACTAATGCTGTTAATCCATGCTAGTTATATACATTAATAAATTAATCAAGATTTCTTTACTAAATCTATCTAGAGTATGCGCATCCATACACTTCTAGGGTATTGCACGTCAACACCAAACTAGAATAGTCATCTCATCTATAGGAAGTTAGTTCTTTTACCTGAATAGACTTTGACTCTGCTAGCTAGTAGTAGCCCTAGCTAGCTGGTACTTATCTTTTCATGAAATTACGGTTAGTAATGTATCACGGTTTAATAGCAAGAACAGCCACGACAAGAGTCACCAGACAAATTAACGAGTAAAGGCAAGACTGTGCTTGTCAACTAACCTTCTTAACTAAGCTAATTGATCTATATTTCGTGCTCTATATTATTACCTGTAAGCTGTGAAAGACGGTTAATAATTGACTGATATGGCACATAAAATGATGCCGTCACCATCTGGGTAGGTAATAGGTGCACTCAACCCTAAAATAGTGATGGTGGCGATAAGCCTCTACACTAGTTATTAGCACTAAAGCATGTTTCTTCTTATATTTATTTATCGCACATGTTATTCTCTTTATTATTCTTGCTGGCTATGTGTAAACATACTCATCTAGCTCTTCTTGTTCACATGCACAGAAAGAGGGGAGAGTAGTACTGCTAGGTGGACCGACAAAGACATGCATGCATAGGGTGGATAACTGTGACATCTATCGGGGGAGTAGCTTTGCTGCGCAAAACAAAAGCACAAGGATATAGGTTCCTTGTGAATATATAGACTCCATTAAGTTGTAATTGTGACACAAAGTATTAATAAAGTGTGCTTATTATATGGATCTTGATGTCTTTTTACCTTGTGTGTGTATGAGGATTCAAATTTTCATACACATACGACACCGTCTTATTTTTGGGGCGTGACATCATGCCTTGCCGGTTTTGTTCTCACACTACACTTACCAAGGTATTAGCATTATAATGGTCTTCTCCCTTGATGGGCTCGTGCTCTCTTCATCACTATCTGAGCCAAGCATCTGAGCAGGAACGGGGCAATCTTGCCAAAGTGTTTGCTATTCTTGTAGCTCCACACCCTCCCAAACTATTGGCTTCTCCTCTGAGGGGTAACTACAACCTTCTCACCACCGACATCGTCTACACCATGCTCAAGCAAACTAATTATGGTGCGTACATCTCTCCTCTAAGAATTAGGATAACTATGCATAATCAAAGTTCAATTGTTCATATGGGTCATGGGTCATGGCAACACCAGAACCAGGAATTTCCTCCACTACCATGGTGTGTTTGGCACTCCTTTATATTTTTTCCCCTAGCACTTACGAGTTACAAGGACTCGTCTACTTATCCTTCACTCCTTCTCTTGTACCTGGATTCATGTATTCTGGGTTAGAGCACCATGATGCCTAGACATAGATCCTCTTGAAGATTGTCTCTTACACCTCCAAGATGTAGCGGCGGGGAGCGTCAAGGGCTCCACGTGGAGGGAGGAGGGAGAAGAAGATAAAGACACTGACAAGCTAGGCTCATGTCATGGAGTCCTTATCCCACCATTCAGATCTCCTTGACCAAACTAAAGATAATTCTATCCCTGAATAAAACAGCAGATTGGAACCATCTCATCCTTAAAAACATGAATAAAATCGTTTCAATCTTCTTCGGTCCCTAAACCAAACACAACCTAAGATTCATATAGATGAAGTTCAAGGGGCGAACTCTACCCTTGCCTCAAGAGAAATATGCCTCCGAACCCTAAAATTAGTTATTCGAGTAGCTGCAAATATTGTCTTAAGGGTTCCAAAGACACTGGGCCTGTTTGCTTGAGACCCGGGCAAAGCTGCTGGTCCAGGCAGCAAATCCAGGCAATCGACTTCTTCTGCCCCCTCGTCTCCAACCGAACAAGAAAATCTCGCTCCCATTATCTCGTGGATCTATTTGTCATTCAAATAGAATCTTTTTTTTGACAAAAAATATAATCCTTTTATTTTTTTTATCCCACCGTTTCTTTCTCTTCCCGGCTCCGAGCGCCGCATCTACTCCGCCGGCTACTCCTCCGTCGCGACGAATCCGCCGCTCCTCTTCCCATCCGGCCATCCCACTCCTCCAGACTCCTCCTCCGCCGCCGCCGCTCCTCTTCACATCCCACTCCTCCAGACGACGCGAGTAGGGGCGCCAGGAGCTGCGGCAAGGCAGCACGAGAAGCTGCAACAAGGCGGCCGGAGCATCTTGACTGCGGGTGTCTTCTTCCCCGTCCCCGTCCCTGGCGCCAGCAGTTAGA